TTGTCCTCAGATGCCATCTTGGCAACATCAACGTCTCCTCTACCAACTATCTCTCGGATCAGATGGTACTTGCGCTTTATATGTTTTCTTGCTCTGTGGGCTCGTGGTTCCCTTGAGTTTGCTACTGATCCATTGTTATCACAGTACACGGTGATACCACGTGGCAAACTCGAAATCACCTCTAAGTCCACTAAGAAGTTTCTCAGCCAAACTGCCTCTTTCGCTGCCTCTGAGGCTGCTATGTACTCGGCTTCCTTGGTGGAGTCTGCCACGCATTTTTGCTTAGCACTCCTCCATGAAATGGCTCCACCTCCCAAGGTAAACACATAACCTGAGGTTGAATTACTCTCGTTCCTATCTTAATGGAATCAGAATCACTGTAACCCCGAGGTAAGAAGCTGTCTGCACGGTAAACTAACATGTATTTCTTAGTCCTTCTTAGGTACTTGAGTATATGCTTCACCGCAAACCAATGTTCCCATCACGAATTACTTTGATATCTAGCTACCAAGCCAACAACGTAGCTAATATCCGGCCTCGTACACAGCATAGGATACATGAGACTTCATGCTGCCGAAGCATAAAGAATTGTCTTCATGTCCTCTATCTCTTGAGACGTCTTAGGAGACATCTCCTTAGACAAAAATATTCTTTTCCTAAAGTACCCTTCTTGGAATCCTGCATGTTGAATCTAGCCAAGACAGTATCTATGTATGAAGACTGAGATAAGCACAACATTCTCTTCTTACGGTCTCGAGTGACCCTAATACCAAGAATGTGTCCTGCTTCTCGTAAGTCCTTCATATCAAACTTCTTAGAAAACCACACCTTCACGTCTGACAACTCTTTCTTACTGTTTCCAATAAGAAGTATGTTATCTACGTATAGCACAAGAAACACCACAACGCTCCCACTGATTTTCTTGTATATGCAGTGCTCATTCGGACATTGAGTGAAGCCATACGATTGGATCACCTCATCGAACCGGATGTTCCAAGATCTCGAAGCTTGCTTTAGTCCATAAATGGAACGATTAAGCTTACACACTAGATGCTCACTTCCCTTAGTAATGAATCCCTCTGGTTGCTGCATATAGATGTC